CCCCCCCCCCCCCGCGGTTCGACTCCCCCCTGCGCGCGGTGAGCGGGACCACCAAGCAGCTGCAGCACACCAAGCATCTGCAGCGCCCAGCGCAGCAGCGGCAGCAGCAGCAGCAGCACCAGCAGCAGCAGCAGACCACCCAGCGGCGGCAGCAGCAGCAGCAGCATACCCAACGCCGCGGCAGCAGCAGCCGCAGCAGACCACCCAGCGCCAGCAGCAGCAGCAGCAGCAGACGACCCGGCGCCTGCAGAGCACTCAGCGCAGCAGCGCCCAGCGCAGCAGCGGCAGCAGCAGCACCAGCAGCAGCAGCACCAGCAGCAGACCACCGGAAGCCCGGCTAGCTTTCGTTCACCCCCTCTGGCCTCAAGTGAACTTGGAAGACTCATGGGAAACCTTGAGCCTCCATCGAGCTTCAGCTGGATGGAGGCTTGCTTTCTCCAGACTGAGGTTATACGAGTTCACTGAGGCTCATCTGGAGAAGCTCGGAGTGCCGAGCCCGGAGAAGCTGCGGGATCGGGTGGCACTGGATCTTCAACACGTCTTGTGCAACGGGAGGGTCGGCAGATGGGGCGAAGGGATGCGAATGGGAGAATTGTTGATCTGCCCTTTTGGTCATGTTGCTGCTGAAGTGAATGGGTAGTAGGGACTAGGAGGGAATAGTCGGAATAGTAGGGAATAGATGGCCATAGTATGGTGCATGAGAAGCCCGAAAAGGCAGACTCCGCCACCTTCAAGAGCGAGACGATAGTCGAGAAGATATGAAGATAGCATAAGATATCTATGTAAAATATCGGTTCTCATATCAGATCGTCACGTATCCTCAATGAATGATGCCTCACTCCACCTCAGGTGTCCATTGTTGAGGTGGAGCGCTTTGCAATATGGCAAGCTGATGCCTTGGAAGCCATGGGTCGAAGCCGACCCGTCCCAGGGCCAGAAGTGGATCCGGCATCCGAGACACTTGGCTGCAGTCCTTCTTGGCACGGCGCCCGTGCCCGCCCGGGGCCCGCCTGCCCGTGCACACCCAAGTGCCAGGAACAAGGGAGTTGACTTATGCCGAGGAAGGCACAACACCTCCGTGGCTTGTTGGATTCCTTCCGCTTCGGCTCTTGGGATGAAACACGGGAGCGGAGCGGGGTCTGTGGCACGACCTGGGCACAATGAACTTGGGACACAACCGCCCAGGACAGAAGCACCATATCTGAGATTGTAAATTCGCAAGCTTTCTGAGTGTGTTGTTCTGTTCTTTGTGAAGAGTGGGAAACGGAAGGAGAGTTGAAAATAGCGCGGGGAGGGAAGGGGAGTGGCTGATTTGGCAAAGGCACTGAGGCAAAGAATTCTGCCGGTTTTGGGATATTTTAGGGGTTAGTTAAGTAAGTATGAAACCTTTTCATTTCCTTCTTGGCGTTGGCGCGGAGGTCAAACGCAGACTCTGACTATGGATTTTGCCTCACGTGACGATCTGGAAGCACCACTGGTGGCAGATGAGCTGCAAAATCTTCAGCTACCTGCTTGAATGCAGAGGGTTTGGTGGTGCACTGATGGTTTTGGAATTGGTTTGTCGGCTGCTGGTGTTCCAGCTGTTCCAGCATGGAACCAGGAAAGGTGGGAGGGGGGGCCAGTGGGCTGGCGCCTGCAGGAAAGACCACGGCTCCTTAATTCTGATGGGGGAAGGCTATGGCAAGTTTGACTCTGCTGGCAAGAGCATTCTCCTGGACAAGCTGAAGGATGTGGCAGAGAGGTGGCAGGTGGGACACGGTTTGAGTCTTTTTCCAGATGTGTGGATCAAGTTGAAGGCTCGAGGTGGAAGGCTTTGGGAGTTTAGAGCAAACACTTGTCTACAAGTGATTCACCTGTATCAAGTTGATGAATCACTTGATGCGGATGTAGTATTCTCTTGAAGGTGTACTTGGCACGGCTCCGGCTAATGGGAGAGCCTGAACCACCTTTCATGGACAGCAGCCGCAAACTCCTCCAGCGATGGGGTATTGGAGCATCAGACGCGCAGGCGTTACTAGGAGCAACGCTCACTGAGTGGCACCAAAAACGCCTTGATTTTTAGAAGTTGTGTTCAAATCACTGACTAGCAGCAGCATCAATGGAACAATATTCGTTCCCTCAAGATCCTTCAATATTGATTTTTCCTTAGACTGTTTGCTTTCTATAACTGGGGTCTCATTAGTTGTTTGTACTGCTCAGCGCCTTTCCTTGCTGCACCTCGACCCAAGCCATCCAGCTGATGTCTACCTGACCGCACCTACTCTCTAATCTCATCGCACCCAGTATCGATGTTTTTGTGTGTTTCCTCCTGGCAGCTATGCTTGGAACGCGCGTCCTTTTATTTGCCTGGTGCTAAACCAATTCAGAGGGCTAATTCAGTTGCCAAGGAGATTCTATCAATTGTGTAATCTTTTTCTTCAGATAATTGTCGACGAGCATCGGTGAAATCTATATTCGTTGTTTGCCTCCCTTCATTTTGCCAGCCCTCCCTTCATTTGAATTTTGCCAGCCGTGAAGCTTGCCCACCAAATTGGTCCTCCTCCAAAGGCCACCCCCCATGAATTAACCTCTTTTTCCCCACATGTGATGGGTAGGCAAATGTGCATCTGTCACCCATCACCCGGCGCTTGACTTTCTGTCTTTGTACTGAGATTCCACGTGACCACGTGATCCTGTGAGCTTAAGGAAATACAATGAAATACATATTACTTTACATATGCAATCAATTCTGATTGATGGCATGCCTCATCTGTTCTGACTATCAGCTGAGGAAACTAATGCACGCAAGTACTTTATACGGAAGACATGTCTGCCAATGAGAATGCTGACGATTCCAAGACCTGGAAAGATTTGAAGATGATAGAGAACTTAGACGACTCTGGAGGATTTTGGGAGAGGAAGCATAATCGAGGGGTCATCAAGCACCATGGCCCTTTTGAGGTTGCTCCAATCCAAATTAGGTATTCCATCTGCGGGGACCCGGATTCCATTTCGTGATTTTACAATCCGCTGAGGAAAGTTTGTAACAACTAAATTGATGACTCCACCTGCTCCTGACAAACTTGCGAAGAAGACAGTCTAGATAGATGAGAGCCTGAGCTGGTTCGCGCGAGCGTTGTTTTGCTAATGGGTACCCGCTCGCGCCCCCGCAGAGAAACGGTGAAAGAAGGACAGTTTTTTATTTTTGCCGCGGAAGTGCCTCGGGGGAACCCCGTAGCCTGAGCAACGCTTCTAAACCAGCATAGTAGACTTTCTGCAGACAAATTGATCGAGGGGTCGTGTCCCACAGTCTATATTTGCGCTTAAGATTGACTTCAGTGACGTTCCAGGAATTTATTGACATGCCATAGATGTCGTCCTTATCTGAGGGTAAAGTAAAGGCATGTGGACCCCACCCGAAGCTCAAGGAGAAGCTCATGCCCGACTCCGACAGAAGGCCAAGGGCTGACAATGACACCCTACCACCACAACTCCCTGGACAGCATGGACGTCTATTCATTGCACTCTTCTTGGAGAAGGATCCTACCAAGCCTAGCTTCCCGGACTGTGGTGATTGGAGTGGGATGGTCACTAGAGTCACTAGAGGTAGCCTGAGCATGTACCTTGTGCCCATGCCTTACCAAAGGACCCACAGTTGAAGGGTCCCACAGTGAGCGTACAGACAATCCTGAAGAAGCGTCCGAAAGTTCGAGAGCAACAGTTTTGATATTTCAAGAGTTCTCCGAGTTTTCTTGCAGGCACCCTGAACTTGTAATTGCCAGGTGGTGTTCCATTGAAATCCGATGTCATTCATTCCCGGTCAGTTTCCTGGGGAGTAGCCAGGCAAAGACGACCTGCACAGGCCAACATGACCCCGCCACCGAGGGCCTTACACGATGGCGCGCTCCCAGGGTGGCCTCACCAGACAGGTGGTGCAAAAGTTTATTTTATTCCAAATTACCCGTGCAGCGCAAGCGAGCAAGCGAGCAAGCGAGCAAGCGAGCGAGCGTACGAAAGAGAGGGAGAGAGAGAGTAACGAGAGAGATAGATAGATTGAGAATGATTGATAGATAAATAGATAGATAGATTGATGGACAGACTGGGAGAGGATTGTGCTGTTGGCTCTGTTAGCTACAAGCGGATTTGCGGCTGTAGCAAGTGATGGTTTGAAACTCAGCTGTTCAAGACATGGGGAGCTTACAGGGATGACCCAGCCATGGCGCCATGTCCGACCTGGAAGCGGCCTTGGAGTCCTTGCAACTGGCCACGTTCCTGCCGAAATTGCGCCAGCTGGGTGTAGACAACCTCAGTCAGGCCGAGAGGGAATTTCAAGGTTTCCAGATCAATTTTCGACCAGTTCATGAGCATTGCAAAGCCTGAATCTTTGTGATTCTTAAGTCTAATCAAGGGCAAGCTCTGGCTGGGATTTGTCAATCTAGGGAGATCATCTCATGTCATCTTTTGATTCCTCACAATCATCGTTTGCTTAACGTGCTTGTCGAACCACCTAGAACCCTGAGCTTTCTTTGGGCCGAGGGCGGGGATGCGTAAAAGCAAACAGTACCTGGAGAATGATTCAGAATGATGCATGCACTCTGGAGCTGCAACATGCATCTACACACTTGCTTGCCATGCCACCCTACCAGTCATGTCCAGTGCCAAGTGCATTTGGGGCTTTGAAAGGGGCTGGAAGGAGTCAAAGACGCCCCGACCTCCCCCAGACCAACCGTGGCAGAACCCGCCAGGTGGCGGACCTTCTCACTTCAGATCTGGCAGAAGTGGGTTTAACTCGAGTCCAGACCCGGCAGTTACAAAAACTCGCACGGGAGAGAGGAGTCGGAGTCCCTTGGCACTGTGTTGACCATTTGGAGCACCTACTAGCGATGGCCTCCAACCTACAGTCCATCTTGGGTTGCTAAGGTGAATTCCGACCCGAAGGAGAGCCCCAACAGTAGCGATGACACACCTGGAGCTCCAGAGCTTCCCTTTCGCCCAGCTCCTCGGGCACAAGGAGCGGGTCGTTTTCAACGTGCTGATTGATGTTCATGTGAGTCTTAGAAGCTCTCTTTCTTCTTCTTTTTTTGGGTGGCCGGGCGGTGTGATAGGATGTGATAGGTGGGTGGTCAATTGGTGCGATTGTTGTTGTTGCACCACTCGAAAAAAGCGCAAGAACAAGCTGTCACTTTCACGGACATGTGCGACCCGACGGGAGGCCCCTTTCAGATGTCACCGCGTGGAAGGCCTTCAGACGCCGAGGATGCAAATGAGGCTCAGGAAGTCCACATTTACAAACCTGCACTGGAAGGGTCCCCACAGATGACTGAGATGAATGCACAAGAGAAGCTGCTTTTGAAGCAGCTGGGTCAAAGGTTTCAGCTGGCCTCAGAGCGCAAAGCCGCGGCCATCGTTTGGGATGCACCTGCCATGAGACACTTGAATGGCGAGGCTTTGGAGATCTTGGATCCGGAACATGAGCTTTCCGAGGGTCTCAGTGCCAATCCACTCGCTTCAACCTCTGCAGTTGTACCAATTGTGCCCAACTCGCCTGAAGAGGTACCAGCCACATTCTATCGACTCGACTTTGGTGATTCCCCATCGGTTCAGCAACAAATGCCAGAGGCCTTGCGGAAGCGCCTCGAGAATCGCAAGGAACAACGAGAGAGAGAGCAGAAGAAGTCCGAGAAGGTGGACAAGAAGACTGAAAGCGTTCCTTGAATTCAAAACCCTGATTGTCAAGGTTTGGAAAAACGATTCAGGCAGATTCAGGCTCTTGAACAGTCAATCAATGATCTAACTATTACATAACGTCAATTATCAGGTGTGTCACACATCTTTTTTCTCCTTGTCTTTTTTGGTGGGGGAGATCAGGCCAGCGGCAGCACCCCCTCAGGGCGTCGACCACGTCCGGGCGAAGAGGCCATCGTGCCGCTGGTGCCGACGTTACCCCTGGAGACTTCACCCACAAAGCGCAGCAGCAGCATTGGGGGCACGAGCCGGCGTGCAAGCTACCGGGAAGACAAGCACGAGCGTCACGAGAAGAAATCCAAAGAGAAGAGCGAGGAGGGAAATGGGAGAAGTTGCGGTGATTTGTTTTGGGCCGGCACCACTGCAGAGATAATTTGTGAGAAGTAGGCACTACCGCACTGCATGGCCTTAGCCTAAACTGAAGCCAGGAAGGTGGACGGCAAATGTTCGACAAGAACACCTTGCGAATGATGCATCGAGAACTTTTTCAGGGAGCCATTGGACGCTATCAGCAGCGGATGCTCCAGTCACTGAGCCGCAGGAGTTCAGTTCGCCTTTGCTTCGCAGGGGCGAATCGGTTCGCTTCGGCTCAGCAGATCGGTTGCACCGCAGGTGGGTGGACAGAGGCCCAAGCGCCCTCACCGCGAGAACGCCACGGCGTCGTGCAAGATCAGTGCAGGCGTCGTGCACGTGGTGCGTTTGGACACACACACACACACACACACGTGCCATACAGTGCCATACAGCAGGAGTTGCATGGAGTGACTTTCTTTTGTGCCCGATCAGGTCTTTGTGCGCGTGAGACCCATTTTCGATAGAGACATGGAGAAGCTCGGATCATTCGAGTTGTCAACGTTTGTGTTTGCTCTTGCGTTGAGTGTTGTGCCATGAGCCAGCTGCCAAGGAAGGGGGACTTTGCACCTTGCCTCAAGAGAAAGCACCAGCTGGGTCCTGGGTCTATGAATCTGATAAGGGGTACACTATGGTACACTTATCTATCTTATTTTCGAAGAACGCTTTCTTCATCTCAGGATGTGATCTCAGTGGTCCCTGGGCACTTGGTCTTGCACAGCTGCCACTTCGAGGCGGACCTCAAGTCCCCCTTCATCAGCCACTTGTAAACCTTTCAATTTTATTCAATTTGTGTTTTGATTACTTTCTGACCTTGGAAGGCGTGGCTAAAGCTTCATGCTTTTGGTGTTGTTGCCTGGTGGTGCTCGGCCAAGGCCACCACTCCTTTCAGTTTGACCACGTGTTCGGGCACACAGCCAGCAACAAGCGAGTCTACAAACACGCGGCCGCGGAAATCGTGCAAGTCGCATGCGAGGGCGGCATCGGCACCATTTTTATGTTTGGACAAACTGGCAGCGGCAAGACGCATACGATGCCCCTTGACTGTGGTTATTCTGAGGACTGCTGAGATGGATTGCATGTTTGCAGTCTGCAGCTTTCGAGACCGTACGTTGCCGCCTTTGCGTTGAAACGGGGCAAATGGAAGCCTTGAGCCAGCTTTTCAGTCGAAGGCCACCATGAAATCAGACCTTGCTACAGGATGAGAATGCGAGGTTTCGGGTTTCAGTTGCGTAGAGTATACCACATGATCAATTGTAGTATATTGAAAGCAGTTGGTATTGTTTGTTTGACAAAACATTCGTTGCACATTTGAAGGGCCAAAATGTGCGCGCATCAAGACTACCCTTTTCTTGTGGGCAGTCTTGGTGGAGCTGGTGGGGGGGCCGTGCCTTTTTTCATTCACAGCTTCTGCTGTTCCGTTCGGAAGTGGACCGACCATTGGTTGTGTTCTACAGCGCTTGAGGTGTGCCATTGAAGAGATGGCCACGCTCGAGGTCTTTGCCAACATCTCTCCAGAGGATAGTGATGACCCTGCGACTGGGATGGAAGGTGGTTGCCCAAAGGTGGTCGCTTTGATTCGGGCTTCGCGCACGAAGCTGAGCATGCTTGACCAATGCTAGACCCTCCGCTCACATCTTTCCATTGCCGACATTTGCCGACCCTGGAGCTGGTTGCAGGAATTGGAGGATTGCTTTGTTTGAGCTTTCCCAATTCGGGTACTGGTAGTAAATTTCGCACACCTGGCAAGCATCACGTCGTTTTCCTACATCACGCCGTCAACGCAGTGTGAATTCCCACATCCTGGTCACAGAAAACGCCCAGGTGATTGGAATCCAATTTCTGGAGCTACGGGGCGACAAGTGCTTCGACCTCCTTGCAAATACGAAAGGCCACCGAGTGGGATCCTGCATACTGAGGGTGTGAGACACCTGACCTGGGTGTGGCCAACAATACACGAGCCCTCCTTTGAATAGCTGAGTTCAGCTGTTCATGCTTGAATATACCCGAAAGCCAGTTCGGCTGCATCACCATAATTTGTATGAAACCTCATGAAGCCTCATAGTTCTCATAATGTCCACCAAGCATGCCCACCAGGCCGAGATTTTCCGGAGCTCCGCCTCCGCGAGCACGGTGGCACCTATCGAGCCGAAGGTGGCGTGGCCAACCTACTAGCGATGGCCTCCATCCTAAAAGCGGTGGCTTCTAGCGACGGCATCCGTCCTAAGAGCGGTGGCCTCCAACTTACTAGCGATGGCCTCCAT